TTGTTAGTATTACCAATCATTGTTGTTTATTATATGAGTTATATCAACAAAACGCATTACTGAAACTAGATTTAAAATAAGTTAAGGTGTACATAAAAAGCCCAATATGGAAATTACCTGCAAAGACTTGTATGACAGCACAAACTACTAAATACTAACTCGCCAAACTGTTACTTCAACCAGGAAAACTGGTATTTTACTGAATATATGGTCCGTTAACTGTCAAACCAAACACATCATGTCAAACCAATAATTTTTTAACACGTCAAGAGAGAGAGATTTTGCCAGCCGCAAGTGTTCATACAAGTGTTACATAAGTGATGTTAAGCCGTATTTTATTTGAAAATTTGGTAAGTTTTTCTCATATCAACCTACACAAGATTCAAACCCAAAATGGTGGTTTCCACTACTTACTAGATTTAAAAGCTACAAACGTTTCTAAAAAGGCCATACAAGTTGAATTTAGTATCTAAAAGCGTTGGCGGATGTGTAACTATTTCATACAACAAATGTAAAAATGTTATAAAGATTAAAATGTTTCTATTTTATGTCCTCCTCCCGTTGCGAAGCACAGGTACATCAACTAGTCTTTGATAAAATTACTTCAGCATCCAAAAGTCAATTACAATACTAATTACAATTTTGTAAATACTGTATTGCTAACATTTTGTAATGATTTGCTGAAATTGAATAAGGTACTAGCTGCTGTACCCGTGCTTTGCAACGGGAAGAAAAATCAGTTTCATAATCATTGAAATGGATTGAGAATAAATAATCCATTAAAAGTTTTAGATTTAATAATCCTACCACATAGTTGTGTAAAATATATTTAATTTCTTTGGATCAGCTGTCTGAAGAAATGAGCATTTGGCAGTTCTGATTGCTTACGTTGAAATGTCAACGCAAAGGTAAACATTGTCAAATTTCTCATGCTTCCATGGAGACCAATTAATATTTACTTTTGAAAACCTCACCTCAAAACATTGGACATCCAAGGGGCGTAGCTCGAGAGGAACTCAGGGAAGTGAATAGGCCTATGACATTCCTAGATATGTGAACCATCTTTCTGCTTAATTTTGGTTGTATCGGTTTAGTATTTTAGTAGTGACAGCTGCCTAGCCAGACAGACAGACACAACTTCAATTTTATAATGTATAGATACAACTAATAAAATCAGTGGCTTTTAACACATTTGTGGCTATTTGTTAAGTAGGCACTGTTACTGTATTTATGTTAGAATAAAAAAATAATAAACTTAAAATTTTTCTAGGCGTTTTTGACCTAATAATCTACATTAATTAATTAAAACGAATCTAATTAAAATTAGTTATCTAATGTAATATCAACATTAATTACAGTTGGGCTCATTCAAGAATGTTTATACAATTTGCTGTTTATGTAATCCTGGAAACATTTGAGGTAGGTTAGAGTTATGTTGTTGAATGATCCAATAAGGTAGAACAATGCAGAACACGGATACCAAGACGGTAAATTACTGTCAATACTCGTCTCTAAATAACACATTGGTACATGTGCAATGCTTGGATTAATTGAGATGGGATAGGGTTGGTTACTTCAGGGCTAAATGTAACACCATTTAAAATGTTAGTATCATTTAGACGATTTAGCGAATTTTTCTATAGGAAAATAGCTATTACCATAGGTCCCATTGTAAGATCTAGCCCCGGACCGATTTACTTTTTCATTAAATATGTAGGGGGACAGGGATTTATTGGGGAAATAGGGTTTTCTCATTTTTACCCTCAAAACACAAAATTTCCCAATTTCTCTCTGAACCATTTCAAGAGCTTAAAAAGAACCAATAATTTAGTATATCAAAGTGCAAAAAATTGTAAGTTATTTTTAATTTTACGTTATGGAGAATATTGTAAAATGTTGAAGTTTGCTTGTTTATAGAATGATATATTTTGATATCAAACTTAGCAAATTTATTTATTTCATACTAAGCTATTAATATTTTACTAAAAAATACACTTCATTAGCCTCCATGTACCAGCAAACCTAGGTATTCAATAAACCTAATGTTATTTAAATAGATTTTAAAATCAATTCAGGCACAAGGAAATTAACTTTTAGAGAAAAAGTATCTTGGAAATTTGAAAACACATCAATAATAACAGGTGTCCTCGATCATTGGGCTTTTAATAAATTGATTCATTGACTTAAGTGGTTCTTGCAGTTTAGTTGGTTAAGAAGTTTGTATAATTGACAAAAATCTATGACTTACAACAGCATACTCTTGTTAGTTGATCAATTCCTCTACCTTCATTTGTATCCAAACTGGCTAGTGGTTACAGCTTTGGAAAAAAGTCTAATTACTGTAGATAAATTTTCCTGACTAAAATAACAGCTAATCAGGGAAAAGCAACAAAATGTGTCTCACTCAGTGTCCCTACCTTTACCTTAGTGATGTAACAACAGATTTGGATCTTCTCCCTTATTTATCATTGGACTGTTATAAAGGGCTACACAAGCTTACATGTTCCAAACAGTTTGATATATTATTGGACACTGGAGCTGAGTAACTCCCCTTCCCCTCTCCACCACCCATATATCCACTGGAGCCTCACTTTACCATACGGTTACATGATACATTGGAGTTAGTGCCTCTTCACCAACAAGGTCTATGCAGCAAATAACTATTGTAACCAACCCGCTGCGGAAATTACAACTCTCCACTTGCATAATTAATGTATACCCAATTACCAAAAAAAAGAGTTATTTTTATTATGTATTTTCTATGAACGCATTCTCAATTTTTAAAATCCCTTTTGGTCAGATAAGTTGCATTAGTTTCAACTTTTTAACAAATTATGATATAATAGTGTATGTAGTATATTTCATCACTATGGTCTAAAGTGACTCTTTTTTACTTGATGTCAAGTTTTACCATCGAGGCGAAGCCGAGGTCGGAAAATGTGCGAGGGATAAAAGTCACTTTTTGCCCAAGTGTTGAACTATATTTTTCGTCATATTGCATCATTAATTTAATTAACAAACAAAGCTAGAAAACTAAATAATTTGTATGTAAAGATAACCTCTCAAAACGACTTCCAGCCTGTTTTCAATTCTGCTAATGCAAATAAGCAGCTGTAATTCAATCATTTCGTTTTCGTCAATTCTATTGTGTTACAGTACCATAAATATGTCGAGCAATCAACAACAATAGGCTAAAACCTCACCTAATAAATCAATCGATAAATCATTTTGATCGATGTGAGTGCCACAATAGAAATTCACAACTGTTTACAACAGCTGATTTTTACTCCTTAAAGACTAAAAGTTATTTTTACTCCCTAGAGAGTAAAAATGCTGCTTTAGACCTGCAACGCATGCATTAAAAACGGTATGACAAAGAATATATTTCAAACTATGTACACAATGTTTCCAATTAAAATATCAATACCATTAAAAATACAGCACACTCAATTAAGCAAAATACTTAGATTTATAATTTTGTAAAATGTAATTAGTTTCCTTGTTTGGATACCGAAGCATGAACGCTTCACCACAATATCTCTAGAGGATTGAACTGGGTCACCCGGCGCTGTGCAAACTTAATATTCTTTCTTACCTGATCTCGCTTCGTGCTTATAATTAAAATTTCCGAGACATTAATTGTGTCTGGTAAACAGTGTTCGTGCAATTACTTCTTATTGTTGTTTACCTTTTGGTAATTTTCTAAATTATAGTGCAGTTGTCTAGGAGGTCAATTAATTCATTTAAGATAAAGTTAAGTAATTCTCAAATCACTATTGAGAACCCATTAATTTGCAAAGTACTGAAAAGTGCCACTTTTTTGTTGGGGCGTGTATTTTTTTTAATTCAATAAAAAGAGTTTAAGTGGTTTCCCTAAAGTATTAAAATATATAATATTTAAATTTATTCTTAAGCTTTTAAATTAACAAAAAAGGATATGACGCTGGTGAGATATAATTTTTCCAAAAGAAGGATGAAAGCCATCTTTCTCCTCTGTGTAAAGTAAACCCAATTATTCTGGAAGATAACGACACTTTTGTCTGGAAGGGTAAAGTGATACATTGTTTTTAAACTCACAATAAACTACAATATAAAATCATATACTTTTTCTCCTAAGTTTACTTTTTAAAATGGATATGACTGTTTTTCAATCCGTAATAATATTGTGTGTGCTATAAGGTTATTGATAGATAACATTCAGTAAACAAATTAAACACTTTTTAAATGCTTAATATTGAAAAATAGTACTATAGTGCGAGAGGGTATTTATAAGTTTATCTATTGGTTTTCTTTTTTGAATTTTGAAATTTTAGTACTGTATCAACCCTATTGGTTTAAGGTTGTTTAGGGCTAGTTGGCAATGTAAATTAAGTACACAATTATATTGAAGTGAAAAAAATATTTTCTATGACATCCGCCATGTAATTTAATGTGGAGTATTAGTTACTAAAAGAAATTGTTAGGTAAATGAGAAACATTTAATTATAACAGCAGGACCAAAAAGGTTTGGACGACTTAACCCTTCCCAGACGGCCTATAATATGTATGCAGACGGCCAAATTATTTAACTTAAAAAGAAACTTAAAAATATGTTTTTTGCATCTTTAATTAATAAATTGTTGGTATTATCCGAACGCCTCTTAATTTAGAGAGATTTTTTTTGCCTTTGAGTTCTATCTCCCTGAAGGCAGCGATGTCGGTGAGGATCAACTATATCAATAACTGTCGTAATAATCGGCGGATATATCCGCCTGCCGCCTACTGTCCGCGGAGCCCAAAAAGATAGGTAGATGTCAGCTATGCACAAAATACTACCTAGCAGATATCCATCTATAGGGTTTAGACATGAGTTGTACCCCCCCCCCCAAAAAAATTTCATATCCTGGCATTAATGTCTCACTTCTTCTTAACATGATTTAACCTATTAACCTGACCGAGAGAGAGCAGAGAGGGTTGAGGTTATTGTTTCAAGTTGTACCATAGTGTTGTTGTTGTTGCAGGTGTACCCCAAGCACGACATCACCAACATCGTGGAGTCATCACACTTTGTCAAGGTGTCCAACTGGTGCCGCATCGGTCACTCCAAGTGCAAGCACACTGACTGGGTCAAGCCCTATCGATGTCTAGGTCAGTAACTGTTATTGTTGTTTCAATGCAACTAACAAGTAATAAATACAACAAAGTCTTAAATTTAAAACTGTAATATTAAAAGTTGTCATTGCTACTTCAAAAATTTCAGGTCCTGTATCGGTCCTGTTACTGTGGCACATAAACTGAGACAATAGTAAACAATCATCCTTCTGGCAGCATTATCAGGTGGTGAATTTGCCTACTTAAAGCTAAGGAAGCAGTGCCTATTTGGTTTTGTAACAAGATCAGCCATCTTACCTTCGTCTGTAGTCCCAAATGTCCACTAACAAGGTGCTGACTAGTTACGATGAAAGTGTCAACGTGTCCAACCTACAAAATGTCAAAACAAATAAATACATCTTTTGACATAAAACACAAGACAAAACACTGACATAACTGAAATTTTGGACTACAGTCGCAGATAAGACTATGTTTTAAAGGAGTGCAAGGGCTATAATATCAATATGGATTTTTAATTTTGTAAAAGTTTAACATTTATTATTTTATTTTACATTTAAAATTTAGAACAATGGCGCAGGCCAATACGCCAAAGATATTACGGAGGCTAATGGACGGTAAATAATTTTAAACGGTTTAAATAGTCTTTGTTTATTGTCATCTGATCGGAGAGTGTGTTTTGCAGAAGGCCCGTTCCAGAGTGACGCTCTGCTGGTCCCAGAGAACTGTTTGTTTGATCACATCCACAACCAGACTCGGTGCTGGGAGTTTGACCGCTGGAACCAGACTGCTGCGCAGAGTTGTCAGGACAGAGACCTCAGTCTGCGCTCCTTCGCCATGCTGCTGCCCTGCGGAATATCACTGTTCAGTGGAGTGGAGTTTGTCTGCTGTCCAACCAAAGGTAGGCTGACACAACCCACCTCGGTAGTTTAGGTAATTCACTGTTACTACTCAAGTTGCAGCGAGAGTAACCGTGACTTTGGTCAGAACCTATTCATATACAGTATAATCTCGATCATTCGGTAAAAAATAGGGGCTGACAGACCGGATCTAGGGAAAGTCGGAATCATTGAAAGACCATTTATGTTAGTGATATAGATTTACCATTATTGGATTTTTGAGAGATGTAGTGACAAAAATAATATCAATAAATAACTGGGTTCAAGCAAGGGTGATAACCATTTTTGAGCTTTTAATGAGCCGTTGGCAAGTGTGTAAGAGTTCCGTGTTTTGTCCTCCGATTCGTCACCACTTGCCAGTCAGTACTGTAGCAGTGCAGTTGGATGTTGTGCGTAATTAATTACTGCACCTACTATACAGTAATTGAGTATTAGATACATTAATTAATGTAATGTAATTGTAATGTATTGTAATGTAATCTATACATAATTATTTCATATTAAAGTATAGTACAATGTATAATTATTGTTCTCAAGTGTACTGTACTTTAATATGAAATCACATACACAATGTAACAGTTATTCTTTTACCTTGTTATCAGTTTTAGAGGGTAACATGGGTATTATTTTAATCATGTGAAATCTAAAAATTAATCTCTTAGAGTAAAAAATTTGTGTAGGTAAAATTCTCCCCTCAACCAATTGACTGGAAAACAATGTTTCACTTGTAAAATGTTTATATTTGCGTATCCCACTACCATCCTAAAAAACCAATCTATTACCAACAACAGAATGTTATTGTTGCAACATAGCCGGAGTGATAAAATTGCCACTACTGAGACAGATAAAATAGTACTTTAACGTTTGACGTATGTCACTATTTTGTGCCGATAATGTCATGTCTCTCACAAATAATAAATGGCGAACTTCCTTTTTGGCCAATCATATCTGCCATAAGATCTGTTGTGTCATATTGCTTTGGATTATGTTTTGTTGGACATAATAGAGTTAGTCCTATATCACATTTTTATTTAATCTAACTGTTTTTTAAATGTTATAAAACATTCTTGTAACTTATTCTGTATACAAACGAGTTAGACATCACAAAGCAAGCATAATACAATCAAACATGCAATGTGATAAATAGAATTGATTAAGCTACATAATTAAAAGTAATGTTGTTGGTAAAGTTTCAAATGAAACCCTAATTGCAAACATTAACTGTAAAATGTGGGAAATTTATGTTGCAGAGTTTTTCAACAGGGAAAATGTTGAATAGTTTCACTAAATCAAATTAATTGACGCCGCTCAGTTAGTCCTGTTTAATTATGAACATTCCTCTTCAAACTTTAATAACTGTAAGGTAATAAGGTTTTTAAATACTTTGGCAAATACATTCTTTAAATAGAAATGTTGTGTACTTTTCTAAAATAACTCAATGTGTTTTTTTTTTTTTTTTTTTTTTTTTTTTATACGTTAAACTGTTTGTTATTTATTGCCTTGTTAGACGGTTTTATTGGTCAGTTGATTGTATATCTTTAACATAAAACATTTTAATTTTAAGAATGAGTCAATGTTAAAGGTAGTAACTAATGACAGTGATTTACTTTGTGACGTAATTTTCCTGGCGGACGACAAGTGGGAAATTACGCCACCGGTAACAAAACGAGGATCCCAGGATTCGCCCTAGTCTGGTCGCGGGGAGTTTCCCAGGAGTCGATAGTGATTCGGATAGCCTAAGTTTGATAGCCCTGGTTGTCAGAGCTCGAGACGAACGTTGCGGGTTACTAAACACCCTACTTGAAATCACCACTCTAGCCTAGGGCTTGTGGGGAAATAAATAATTTTGACTTGACTCTGTGGGCAAATATCTAAAAGACACACTACTAGCTAACTTAACAAATCAACAAGTAAGCTAAGTAGGCACTCCGCTTACCTACGGAGTTACGTCGTCACCCTGAAACAAACAAGGTTAGTACAAGATAGGCCTAACCTAGCCTAACTCCCACAGAGTATGAATTTACTAGACAAGAAAAAACGAGTTGGCTTAAGTTGTCCAAGTGAGACACGAAACGGGAGAAAAACTGAAACTAAAAATAAAACTGCTTCAAGAGCTGATACGAAAAAAGAAAAACTAAAACTTCAACTTCCCCACGTGTTCAACTTAAGCAAACTTCTGCAATAATTATCAAGCAGAAACCTGTCTGCTGGGGCCAACTTCGGGGCGTTCGGGAACTTTATAAAGGGGTTGAAGAATTTAAAAAGAAAGTCCCAGATATGGATTACGAAACGTTAATCGAAATGATCTGTCACCAACTCCGATACTTTAATTAAATGAGTTGGTTAAAGCGTATGACGAGGTCTGCGAATCAGGCCTAGCCTAGGAACTTCGACAAAGTTCTGCCGAAACACAAGTGACAAAAGAAAAACCTAAGTTGTCTTAGTTTTACACAACTTACCAAACGAAGTAATACTACTGTAAAACACTTTTAGCACACTCGATGCACCACGAACTTAATGTAGGCGAACTTTTAAGCGACGAACGAAAAAGAACAAAAACTCTTCAAATCGAAGACGAAAAGACGTATTAGCGAATCCTTCAAAAGCCGGGAATACGAATGACCAAAAACTTCACAAAAACTTCTTCTTACTTCACCTTCGTCTCAGAATCGAGACGAAAGTTAAAACGATTCCTGATTGGTCAACGAGTTACCGAACAAAAAAAAAAACTGGCAGCGAAGGCAGGCGCATGGCAGCTTTAACAGGCTTACAGCTGCGTACCGCTCAAAGGTGACCTCGCTGCTCATCTTCTCTCCCGTAGCCCGGCCTCAGATGCAGTCGAACAGCCAAACAACCAAACTGACACCAACGTCGTCTGCGGTCTTGGAATTGGAGGTTAGGTACGACGTCAGTTTAGTGTCGCGACTAGGCTTACTCAACAGCTTATGTTTAGCTGTTTAAAGTTCGTGGTTTAGCCGTTATTTTACCCCCTACACATTTGACCCGTTACACCCCCTCCACACTTCGGAACGAAAAAAAAGAAAAACGAGAAAACGAAAAAAACTGTTGAACTTTCCTGCAGATGACACATCAGTAGGATCGTGGGCAGGAAAAGTTGACAGAAGCCGATGCCGGACCCCGTTGGTCCGGCTGCTCCAGGGTGTTGACGACGAAAAGTGGGCGAAATTAGGAATGATGTAGACTGTCTGAGGCCGAGTTGCCTCAGAGGTCTGGACGAAAACGAATCGGGGCAAAGAGTAACCAAAGGTGAAGAGTAGGCGTGGGGTTTACAAAGGTAGGGTAGTACGGCAGGCTCGGAGTCTTGGAAGCGGGGCGAAGAGCTACTCACGAGGATACGTCACCCCCAGACGAGGGTTAGCTATGGCTGCTTGTCGGCAGCTTGACGTGGCCGAAAGGACTGACGAACAACGGATCACCAGACGTCGCTGCGGTTGCGGGATCCTTGCAGACTAGTCACGTGCACAGAAAGGTTTCAAGTCTTTCACGTGAACGACGTGCAGTGCAGCAGTATCCTCATCACGCACCTCGTAGAGATTAGTACCTCGACGACCGACCACAATGCAGGGGCCATGATATTTTGGTGCTAATTTCCCTACGATGGCGTCAGCAGCAGAAGACAGGACGTGGAGTCTTCTCATCACCTGCGCGCCGACTTCGTGCGTCACCTCCCTACGACGGAGGTTATAATATGTCGATTGCCTCTCGTAGGCAGCCTTGAGGTTCTTGTGTGTCTGCGCGATCAGACGCTGAAACTCATCCAGTCGTTTGCGATGGGTCTCACTTAACGAGGGACCTTGGGGAGTTTCAGACACCTCAAACGAAAGGCCACGGACGGCACAGGGAGGCTTCAGTTCGCGTCCAAAACACAGCATCGCAGGAGTGAATCCAGTAGAGTCGTGGACAGCTGTGTTGAGGGCGTACTGAAACTCCACCAGGTGGTTGTCCCAAGACCTATGGTTGCCTTTCACGAACTGCGCAATCATAGTCTTCACCACCCGGTTCTGCCTCTCGACTGGGTTCGACTGCGGGCTGTAGGGGGCCGTCGTCTGCAGCGTGATGCCCCACTCCGCCGCCAACTCTCGAACCAGTTTACTGACAAACTGCGTGCCGTTGTCCGTAATCAACACATCCGGAGCTCCATGTCGAAGTAGGATAGCCTTCAGCTTTGTCACCACATTCTTTGCGGTTGCAGACGCAATGGAGGCGAGTTCCGTCCATTTGCTGAAGGTATCCTGCACCACGAGCAGAAATCGCTGACCCCGTTGTGATCTAGGCAATGGGCCTACCAGGTCAGCAGACACTGCGTACCACGGTCCTTGGGGTTGTCGGAAGTACATTTTCCCAGCTGGTTTCGTTTGGGGTACTTTATAGGCCTGGCATTGGGCGCAAGACCGTACATAGGCCTTCACCTCACGACGCCAGTTAGGCCAAAAGTACTCCCCACCAACTCGGGCTAACGTTTTCTTCACCCCAAGATGTCCTGCTGTAGCCGTGTCGTGGTTTTCGTGCAGCACCACGGATACTTGGTCGCTTGGCACACACACCCTCCATGTCGTAGGTCGATCCTTCCTCGAGACAGCACGATACAGCTTACCGTCGCGAAGCTGGTATCTCGAGTATCGCCCAGGGTGTTTGCTGACCAGATTGCGAAGGCGGTCATACCAAGCACCGTGGCTGCCCGGCGGGTTACCATCGTTGTCCACGTCGGAAGATGGGTCGTCAGTCTCCTGCTGCGTCGGACCAGGAGCTTCGTGATCGATAACGTCACCCGCCGGATCATCGCCGAGTGAAGGTTCGTCACCTTCAGCATCGGTTAGGCGTCGTAACCGCAACTGTTTCCTAGCACCGCGTCTGGTTAAAACTCCGACCTCAAACGTAGGTTGATCGGGTTCACCAGACGAGCTGGGCACTTCAGGGACCGGCTGACGAGACAGGGCGTCGGCCACTCTGTTCGCTGTCCCCTTGCGGTACCTTATCTCGA